TAAAATACTAAAGTCACTTGATCCAAAATTACAACTGTTGCTTTTTGAACAAAGTAGTTCGAGGTAATTTTATAAAATTAGTTCACTAAGAAATGCAAATTTCACTACGAAAACTTGGAATAGGAATACTGAGACAAGTTTGCTAAAATATGTAACAATTGTTAAAAATCATTACAGCATGGTTAACGTAGCTGTACGTGATGTACATTTTAAAAAGATAACTGAATTCAAGTACATTTTGATACTTTTTTAGCGTAAAGTAAACCTAAATCTTAAGTGATTTTGAATCAGTTCATTTGTAAATATTTGACATGTGGATGATTACGCACACAGTTTTAATTCGTCAATAGATGTTAAGCATCTTTAACATTATCCTTTATCGCGATAATCTTTATAGTACTTCTATTGCATTTTTTTATCATATACATCCCATTGCAATGGTTTCTGAAAAACCCTCAGTTTACGGAACCAATAAAGTTGTTATTGTTACTGGTTATGGATCGAATGTCCGGCATATTATTAACCTTTTTAGAAATGATTCGCATTGATTGAAAAAGGAATGATTTAGGCGTAATCGTCAGCGCTAACTTTTAATTTATTAGAGTATGAAGACTTTACAAGATTCAGTTTTGTGTTCGAGACTTAATCAGCATAAATGTTCCAATTTAAGTTGCAATCTAATCGAGTACCTAATCGAGCTCGAGAGTGCGGTAGGCTTCACTTGATCAACTTCATCTTCGTCTACTTTAATTGCCTTCATGAGCCCACTAAATCGTCCGCGGAAATGCGGTTTGTGAGCGCTCAGCTGGAAGCATCGCCAGGCGACCAAGCAGTGAAAACGAGAGAGGATCAGGACGGAAGATAAGAAGCGCTCTAAAACTGCTGGCTGTCAGCCGCGCAGGGGTCGAGTAAAATATGACTACTTCAGGGCAAGGTGTACAGAGACCGTGTTCGGAGAGGGTGCAGCCAGACGATTGGTCGTATGCGATATCTTGAATGGAACAGTTTACTGTTTATGACTTTCCAATTGGTACCTCGCCTAAGATAAGTGTGATTTTTTCCCTTTGTAGTTAATGATAATAATCAACCAACCTTAATTCAAACATAATAAACAAGGAATACATACTTCATTAGTTAGGGTTCGAAACGACTAAACTGGGTACGAAACGACTGGTATCCGGCTGACGTTTTCAGTGAATTCTTCTAGGTTGTTGGCGAACTGGCATGGCATGGGATGTCGGTAACCTAGTCTGGTAGTCGTCATCATGGCCTTGGTTGTCGGCCAGCTGACCTTGATGGTCGGCGAACTCGCCCAAGTTGCTATGGAACTTGTCAAGGTTGCTGGCAAAGTAGCCTTGGTTTAAAGCGAACTCATTTACACCCATCTTTTAAGCGGAAAAACCTATTTCAACGGAGCTTATCCGTTTGTGACGATCCTTTGCACTGCTTTACAAAACTCTATCTTGGCAAATACATCAGAAGCTGGGTCCAGAATCATAAAAACAAATCATTTAATTTGTTTCTTTTCTGATAATTAATTGCTATTGAATTGTCCTCTTTAGGCAGTTTTTGTGATAAAATATTTAAGTTTTAGTTTGTGTGGCTCCCACACAAACTTTAAAAAGCTCTACCTTGACAAAACTAATTTACTGGTATTCTAATCACAGCGAAATAGATTAACTCGTGAAATATATTTTCGATTGGGAGATAAGAGTTCTATAACATAACATCTGATTTTATCAAGTATCAGTGCATTCCAACACTGGAAATTCCTCAACTAATGTATGCTAGTCAGTTGAACAAGAGAAACTATATTATTGGGAACCACTATCTATTTTTGTTTTGTTGTTTTTTTTTTTTTCGTCTAGGAAACTCGCATCAATTTCTCAGCCAATCAAATTCAAAACTGAAGCCAATCGCGTCTTTGTTACTCTCGTTTACCCGCGCTTCAGACAGACGTTTTCCCGAGCTTCATAAAGGCGTTTTCCTGCGCGTTTGACAGAGGTTTTACTGCGCCTCAGACAGACGATTCCCTGCGCTTCAGATCATAGTTAACTGTGTTCAGATACAATACTTTGCATGCTTTTTACGTTGATCTCCGTTATATTTACCTTTGTTCAGTTTTGTTATTACGACTCAATCGAAATGCGCTCTATTTTCTTCTAGCGAAAAATAGATTAAATATGAAGAAATGAACATTTAATCGTTTGTCTGATGGTTTTAATTCCCTAACGATCGCAGTCTGTTGCGAAGCCATTCCACAGAATGGTTACGTAGGAGACTGTAACAACTGCTGTTCACGACGTTTTGATTCCCACAAAGTCAGTCAAACCATTCCCTTCGATAAACAGTCATAACGGTGACATAAACACTTAGACGATCACGTACCTAAATAACTACAATGAAAACTAAGAACATCTCTCCTGCGAGTAAAACATCCTACAAGACAAACGACAACCGACAGGCGACTGGGCTCTGTTCTAAGCAGAGACCTCACTTTGTAGTTGAACGGAAAAGCTTAAGGCCTTCTATTTTCCAGTCAATACCGATCAACGCATCAGACAAGTACTTCCTTCCTTCCTTCAACAGTTATACTTGAATTGCCTCTAAGGTCTAGATTACCTAATTTGCAGTTGCCATCAGTCAGAGCATTAAACAAGTAATTTATTCCTTTATCGTCAACGAGACAATGTCTGACGTTAAGGCTAGTCAACTTGGATGCACTATTGGTTAATGCTGTACACAACTGCTTTAGCCCTTCGTTTCCTACGATATTGTCACTGACGTCTAAGAACGTTAATTTGCAGTTACCTGAGGTTATTGCTTAAACAAAAGTTTCATCTCTTCGTCTCCTAGGGAATTGAAACGTAGAATTAACTTGGTTAATTCGCACTTACTATTGGTTAGCGCTTTACAAATCTGCTTGATTCCTTCATCCCTTAGGTTGTTGCCAGTGACGTTCAAGCTGGTTAATTTGCTATTTCTATTGGCTATTGCGCTAGACAAATACGCAATTCCTTGTTGCGTTAAGTTACTGAAATAGAGGGTCAAGCTGTTTAGATGATTGCATCTCAGCGACGTGGATAAGATCTTCACACCTGCATCACTTATCGGACTCCAGGCGATGATTAATCTGCGTATTTTCCAGAAGTCGTCTCTGACTGCCTTACACGGGCTTACCAAATTGTAGTCATCGTCCGTTGGCCACGAGGTCAGTATGCCTGACTCTTTACTGTAACACAGTGAAAGAACATCGTCCTCCTGGTCGTCTTGAGCATCATCCAAATTGTGTAATGACAGTTCAGAACGAGGAAGCCCATCCAACAACCTAAAAACCATCTGCCACTCACCTTCTCTGATACGTGAACTAAGAAATGTTTTAAAAGCTGCCTTGTTTCTTGGTCTTCTTCTTAATTCTGTCGGGTGATTTAAACATGCGAGATGTTAACGCTTTTGCTTACGCATTTTTAGCTTTCATTTCAGTTTGGATAAAGCAATCATTAAAGAAAAAAATTCAAAAGAACCTTAGCTTTCTACCGTAACGGTTAAAAAAATGCACTTTGAAAAATCTACGTGGTATTTTTTTAACAATGTTCCTGGACCACTCTTCCTAAATCACCGTGCAGTTTTTTTTTCCACTCATCATTTTCCAGTGCCACAGTACACATGTTGATGTGTATGTAGTACGTTGCCGGGGACTCTTTATTCAGGTTGTCCGCCTAACACACCCATGTGTGTATGCTTTTTACTGAATTTGCAAACAACGTGTTATGCTTTTTAAATATGCGTATTTGCAATGTAACGTGCCAATGTTATCACGTGCTAATATGTTACAGTGTACATCAGCGGAAACGACAAAAACGCCGGTACATCTAGAGGGCTCATATCACAAAGAGTGACTGGTAATCGAGCCTAACTAAATGAATCGCTGTCATGCCAACGAACATTAGCGTCGTTTATCCAATATATCATCGCTGAACATCAATAAAAACAGCTGCACATATCGAAATCAATACTGTTTGACCTTCCAATAACAAAGTCAATTTAAGACTCCATTTGTGAAGATAGAAAAAGAGGACAACTTTCATGAACAAGTATCATGGTTATTAGAATGCACATAACTCTGAGGTGTTGCTTTCTTCACTAAAGTACTACTAAGAACTGTTAACAATATCCCTGCGTCTACTTAAAACTTAACAGTATCCCCATGCTACTGCACAGGCAAATCAACAATTTCTTTATGAACGACAGAAGAAGAAGAAACTATAACGGGCAAAAGTTCCATCCGAAAAATAACACTTGAAATATGATCTGAAAACATGTAACAACATTTTCAGTTTACAATCATTTCAAAAATTGATGATAATTAACTGACACTCCACCTAACCTTGTGGTAGCTTTTCTGATTCTAGTTTAACATCAGAGGTGGGCAATGCTGCAAAGTGTAAAGAACCTACAAGCCAAAGTGTATGTAAAGAATTTAGCATTCAGTGTCCCAGTTTAATAACGATCTCTTTCATATGTTGTATTAACGAATTTACTGTGATACTAAAAGTACAATGACTGCTGTTTCGTGATTTATCATATAAATACAAATACTGTTTTAAGCAAAGTTTTATTAAAAGTAAACACAGTTTCTATTATAGTAAACAACTAAGCCCAATTTTTTTTGCTTTACTTTCTTACTGAACAAGTCTTAAAGTTTTGCTGTTCACCTTTAAATTTATCTGGCCTCACAATCTCTATCTGCTAGCTGCTCCCACTTTTCAAGCTGTTCTTGTTTGTGCTGACCTCCAGTGATGGAACTTACCGAGTGATAATGAGAGGCTGAAGCTTTTTTTTTTTCAGGATCAGTGATGGAGGATAAAGAGGAAGGAAAGGCTACAAAAAGAGATATTTGGCTCTCAGTAATTCCTTAAAACTGTAAACGCATTAGTTGATTCCTGTGCCTTACCTTTTCCATATATGTACATAACTGATTGGGTTTTGTGTCTCTTGCCTTTCAGATCATGCTTTAATCGGTCACGTAATGCTCACGGTTTTTGCCGTGGACGAGTTTGATTGTCATTTCAAATGCATAAGCAAGAGTTGTATGTCGTTTAACGTTCACTCCAGTGACAGCGATGGAAACCGAGTTTGTGAACTGAACAACAAAACACGACAGATGAAACCAAGTGATTTCAAACAGAAGAGAGGATCAACATACTATGGCCCTGATAAGGTCGGTACAAATTATATCAACTGATGCTTTTATTAACTCTCCGGGAACGACCAGTATGATGTAAATGATGAAAAAAAGTTAAAATGTACTTCTATCGCTGCGCAAAGTTTCTAGAATACAGGACAAAAACACATCGGGGGGTCAAGAACGACGAACAATGTTTTTCCAAACGAGCTCTTGTTACTTCTTCGGCATTATTTTCTCTTCATGGGAACATCTATCCCTTTTGTTCATGTTTTGAGGTTTTTACGTCGTACATAATCTCTGTATGTCTTAAACTGATGAGAATTTCAAAGGCTATTACGTAGGCATTATAATAGGGGGCTGTGTTGCCTTTTAGGACTTTGCACCTTGCGTGTGGAATATGCGATAAAAGGCAGGCTGTTTACAAGGAAATGACACGCGATGGGGTAGTATAAGACTAATTTGATAGGTAGAAAATGTCAAAACACGTGAAAGTTGCGTGGGAAATTTACTAACAATAGCATTTATTTTCATTGCAACACTTTGCGACACCCTCATACCCCACTCATTGAGAGAAGAGACAATACCCTGACGCTCTGATTGGTGCAAACATTCTCTTAATTCAGTTGTTTGATTGTTACGAGACACCCCGATGCGGCGATCCGCTTGACGCGAGATGCATACCCAAATGCGACGATCTGATTGGTGCGACCAACATACCACTCGATACGCTAACATATAGTTAATTCTATTTTTCGTAAAGATAAATTATTCAAAAAGGCTTTCATGATAAAAACAAAACAAAACAATTCTGAACGACAAGAACATGTATTATAAAAGTAATGCTATATCTGGGTGGTCAAGGTTGAAATTTTATAGGAGAACCGCTCGAAATTTTAAACACATGC